CGGATCCACTTCTTGACAACAAAGACTAGAGTTATTTCTTGGGTCTATGATTTAATATAGCCTTACATAGTGTGAGGATAATTAGGGAGGACATTACATACATTCTCAAGGAAAGTCTAACTAATGAAATGTTTTATTCATCAACAATAAACTTTTAACAAAATCCAGTAATACTTTGTAAAAGTAAATGTAAGAAAAATAAAACATGTAAGCACTAAGAAATATTTGAGATTTTTTAAAAATCTGACAATGATGAAAAAAATTATTTAGAGTTAGTGAACTGGCTTTTAGATGAGACTCTGTGACTTATTAGACACATAGCTTTGTGCACGTGCTTCAGTTTCCTACTTTTGAGAAATGAAGATGGTAGCAACTACTGACCATTGACTTTCAGAAAAGTCATCCATGAAGTAAATACGGTAACAGACATGAAAACATTTATTATGGACATGTAAGGTACTATTATTGTTAAAAATTAAAAAAAACACTCCCAGTTACTTCCTGATACTTTTAGCCTACGACTCCAGTCTCAGGTTTTATGTCCATGCAGTGTCTAGTTCAGACAAAGTAAGCAATTTTGAGTCAATGGTGTCTATTAAATTTAGGTTTGACATCAATACATGTTGATTGCTCATATATATTTTACTTGAAAATTCTATATAGTTTGAAGATATTGTATAAAATATTGTTATGGATTGAATTGTGTCCCACAAAAATGTGTGTCAACTTGGCTAGGCCATGATTTCCAGTATTGTGTGATTGTCCACCATTTTGTCATCTGATGTGATTTTCCTATGTGTTGGAAATCCTAACTCTATGACGTTAATGAGGCAGGATTAGAGACAGTTATGTTAACGAGGCAGGACTCAATTTACAAGATTAGGTTGTATCTTGAGTCAATCTCTTTTGAGATATAAGAGAGAGAAGCTAGTAGAGAGGAGAGGGACCTCATGCCACCAAGAATGAAGAACTAGGAGTGGCGCACGTCCTTTGGACCAGGGGTCCCTGCACTGAGAAGCTCCTAGACCAGGGAAAGATTGATGAAAAGGACATTCCCCCAGAAACAACTGAAAGAGAAAGCCTTCCCCTGGAGCTGGCACCCTGAATTCGGGCTTCTAGCCTCCTAAACTGTGAGAGAGTAAATTTCTCTTTATTAAAGGCATCCACTTGTGGTATTTCTGTTATAACAGCACTAGGTAACTAAGACAAATGCCAAGAGCCCTTAAGGTAAATATTTCTAAAATAAATATAAGCATGAATGAGATGTAAATTTGTGGCAGAGTGCAGTTTCTATGATTAAAAGCAATCAAGATTAATTGATATAACTTTTGATGAAAATTATTATGGAACATTAGAATAATGTAAAGAAACTTCCTATGCCAGAAAGCTCTGAAATAATATCATAGCACTCTGTGGTTTATGAGTTTATTTTTCTCATGTGCTATATCATTGTATACCTATAGCAATCATTTGAGGTAGCAATTATTATTCCTCATTTAGTAGATGAACTTGAAGTTTATTGCAATCAAATGAAAACCAAGAAATTCACATCCTTTGGAGCTGGTACTAAAATCTAGATATTCTAATGTAAAGTCCAGTGCTTTGAGGATAAGGAATCAAAAAACATGTGTGAAGTGTTAGTCCTCAGTCAGTCATTTCTGACCATGGTTTACTGAGTGCTCCTTATGTGTGCAAGCCACAGTAGAGGGTCAGGCATGGCCCCTGCCCCCAGGTAGCTCGGGGGCTAGTAAGACAGAGAAGGCAAAAATCTATGCTGCAGTCAGAAAATGTAAGGGCTACGAAAATGTACAGGAAAAGGTGCAGTGGGAGTTTATTAATTTATAAATTCAATAATATTTTAGTGCAACATTCGTATACTGTATCTGGCCATCTTCAAAAAATATTTTTCTTTCCTGTAACAGTTTAAACTGAGTTTAATTTTATATAAAATGTTGTTTTGAAGGTCAACAAGCAAGCTCCATGTTACTACCATAAAAAATGAAATTGAACAAGGATCGACAGAAAAAAATACGAATGCATATAGATATATTTCAACTTGTTGAGTGCATTTGAAAGGTTGGCACTATGTGCTAAGAAGGTGAAGTACGGAAAGGTAAAAATGTATGTTTTGCCTGATATTTGCTAATAATAAACATATATGAATTGACTATATATGAATTCGGTAGTCTCCCTGGAACATAAATGCTACCAGTATATACTTTTGAAAAAACAGAGATGCTAGGAACTACTATAGTGTTTTCCCCAAAAAGGTGCAGTTAAGAAAAATCTATTCAGTACAAAAAGCTGACTCAATATGGAAACCATTTGTTTAAATTCTACGACAGTGGAACACTTATGACTACTCTTAATTGCATATCTTATCACTTGTCAAAGTTTGGATATATCACATTACCTACACTGCAATCTCACAGAGCAAAAAGAAGTTATACTTTGCAGAAGGGGGGCCAGGTCTTTTATACATCAACATTATAAAAGACTATATAACTGCTTGTAATCATTTAAATTGTGTCTGTTTACTTAAAAAAAAAAAAAAAGCAGTGAAGGTTAAATTGCAATCACAAAAAAATGGGAGAGAGCACAATGGAATGTATAATATTCACAGTTTTTTAAACCTGATTCAAATCCTTGCTTTGAAGTATAATTTCTGTTTGAACCTCAGTTTCCTCACTTGAACAATGGGGATAATAACATTCATCTTGCAGAATTACTGTGAAACTTGGCGATAGCCCACCAGCCAGGCACATATTACACAGGACTATTTTGCCCCTAAGAAAAACAATCTAGACTAACCAAAAGTTGTGTGTGTGTGGGTGTGTGGGGGTGGTGGTGGTGGTAGGTATTTGTATTTAATTTCTTCATCCCAATTGACTGCTGCTCACAGGACTTTATTTCAACTACTGTTTTGACAATACCATCTTTTAATGTGGAGACTCTAAGAAGATGTGAAGGAGCCCCTGGTAGTGCCATTGTTAAGATCTCAGTGGCCAACTGAAAAGGTTGGTAGTTTGAACTTACCAGCAGCTCTGGTGGAGAAAAGATCTGACTGGCTGTCTGCTCCCGTAAGGATTACAGCCTAGTAAACCCTATGGGACAGGTCTACTCTGTCCTATAGGGTTGGTAGGAGTTGGAATCGACCAGACGACACACGACAACAACAAAAAGGTACAAGAGGCAATGCTTGCCTTTGCAATCAGATTTGAACCTGGAATTTCTTTCTCTGAAACCATCATCCAAGTAGGACAGTTTGGGGTGGGAGGAGAGTTCTGCCAAGGGCTAGAGAGGAGATCAGTTTACCCTCTGCACTTTCTTCACAATCTGCAGTATCCTCAGGCTTTCATATGTTACAAACAAACAACAAAAACTAAACCGCTTGCCTTCACGTCATTGCAACTCATGATGACCCAGGAGTGTTACAGTAGAACTATACTCCATCAGGTTTTTCAATGGACAATTTTTCAGAAGTAGATTGCCAAGCCTTTCTTCCAAGAAGCCTTTGGGAGGACTGGAACCCCCAACCTTCCAGTTATCAGCCAGTGCATTAACCATTTGTGCCACCCAGGGACCCCTTCATATGCTTACCCAGCTTTGAAACAGACAGACCTGAGAGACCATTAACACTAGTTGTTTAGCTTTTTGGTAAAACAAAACAAAACAAAAAAATTTTTTTGACATGCTGACTCCCAAAATAGCAAAGTATAAGGAGATTTAAGATTTAATTATTGATACATCACCTTATTCTTAATAATCATTATGCCTGGCTGTTTTAAGACTAGGCTCGAAAGGCAGAGCAGATGTAAAAACTCTTGGGGATTAAAACCTCGTCCTGGGGGCCTACAAACCAGAAGAGAAACAAATGGACAGCGGTCGGGCCGTGTACACCTAATGAACAGAGTCAAATCATAGGCAGAGCATTGCAACGGGGGCTCCGGAATCGCTCCCCCCAGGATCCGGTGGGGTGGGGGCCGCTGGAAGCCTTGTTCACGGTGGACACTGAGGACTGGGAAACAGCGTTCGAGCGTGTCTGCCAGCCGCGGTAATGCACCCAGGCGGATTTGCATTGCTACGTCCTGATGTGAAAGTAGTGTGCAAGGCTCAAGAAAACCCATGTCCTCGTGGCCATCATCTGTGGGTTGCTAGGCACCCTATGCTCTCAGTCCCAAGGGTGGGACAAAGGGGCTTCCGAGGTGGGGAGTTATTGAACTTTTATAATGAGGTAATAGAAAGAGCGAGTCGGGGGCGGGGTGAGGCGGTGGCTTCTGGATGGCAGTGGGGGAAGGGCGGAGGTGGTTCCCGAGCGTCTCACTCCTGATCCAGCCCCGCGCTTAGCGAGCTGGAAGGCAGGAGGTGCAGAGACGGCGTTCACTTCTCGAGTTGTTAGTTGGTTCTCTTTCAAGTAAAAACGGGAGAGAGAAAGGTGTAGCCTGTTGGGGAAAGGTCGATCCACAGCCGGGGCCGGCCGCCCAGCCGGGTTGCGGCGGAAGGGGGCGGCGGGCGGCGCGGGCAGCCGGACACCGGTCTTCGGCCCGGCGGTGGCGGTCGTTCTTCACTGCACCAACCTGCGGGCCGGGCTGGGCGCGCGGCGGCCCCTCCCACACCGAACCCCCGCCGCCGCCTACCCGCGCTTCCTCCTGGTTTACCGGCCCGGGTCCCAGTCGGTGCCGCAAGGAGCCGGCGTGCGGAGCGCCCGCTCGGGACCGCAGCCGGTGGGGGACGTTGCGGCCACCGCCTCCCACACCTGGCACGCCAGCCTTCCCGGAGCCCGCGACCCCCTCCCTCTCTGCCTCCCGCTCGCCCCGCCACCCGCACCGGGCACCCCTCCCCCTCCGCCGGCCCAGCGCCTCCTCCCTGCGCGCCGGGCGCCGCCTCCCGCTCGGCACGCGCCCCTCACCGGCTACTCCGCCCCGCGCTCTCCGCGCGCCCTCGCTCTTTCTCTCGCTCGTTCTCGCCCTCTGTCCCTCGCTCGCCCTCCCTGCCCAGTTCCCATCCCAAGTCCCCTGCACGCCAGCCGCCCCCTTGTCATGTCAGCATGGAGATCCGGCAGCACGACTGGCTCTCGGCCTCCCCCCACGAGGGCTTCGAGCAGATGAGGCTCAAAAGCCGCCCCAAGGAGCCCTCTTCGAGCCTGACCAGAGTGGGCGCGAACTTCTACAGCAGCGTCAAGCAGCAGGACTACAGCGCCAGCGTCTGGCTCCGGAGGAAAGACAAGCTCGAGCACGTAAGGGCAGCTCGCTCGCGTTGACCCCGGCACCTGCCGCACGACCCCTCCCTCGGCAGCGGCCGGGAGCCAGGCAGGTGGCCTGCGCCTCCGCGCCCTGTCTGGGGGAAGGGCGTCCGCGTCCTCCGACCGGATCTGGGGGCTGCTCCTATGCACTTTCTGGCGGTAAACGACCCGGCTGCGCGGAAGCGACGGGAGGTTCCCTTCCTGGCGCAGCCTGGCCGCTCCACAACTCGACCTACCCACTGCTTCTCCTGTGGGGCTTATTTGCACTGTGTTCTTGGGTTGCCTGTGGGGGGTGAGCAAGGTGGAACTGCCGCAAGCGTAGCTTCGAGTGTTGCACGGTAGTGGGTTTTCGAGGTGTGCTTGCCATTCTCTTTGGGGCAATTTTACTCTGTCCAGAAACTAACAAATTCACGAATCCGTAAAGTTGTCGCCGCCAGCGACCTAGCCTGGGCCCGCGCGCAAGCCCTTAGAGTTTTCTGCAGAGTGTCCGCTGGGATGAGCAGTTGGCAGTCTTCTCTACTTGAGCAACTAGGGAGGGATTTGCGCGTTGCAAGGTGAAAGGCAACAGAATGAGCAGATCGCCCTGCTTCCCAGAGACCCACCACTCTGGAGGATGGGAGCGGACGAGCAGAGACCTCCACTTGCCAAACCCGAGTGCGTGCTTCACGCGACGCGTTATTGGCTTGCCATTCTGGAAGGAAGAAATCCCTTTAAAAAGGCGTTTAGTTCATCCACAGTTTTAAATGTGACCCATAACATGTCGTTAAACCAAATGTTACAGTGAAATTAAGATAATTTTACTAAGAGTGTAGTGCAGCTAGTTAAGGAAAAGATGCTGTTTCTTCCCACGAGCTGCGTAATCCAAATTGAGTCTGTAAATGGAATGTGGAGATTTCCTAGTATTTGGGTCATGTCGCCAATTATGATAAAAAGATAAGAATGAGAACTCCTAGAACTCAACACGTCTATCTCCAATCGCTGCACCGACCTGAATCCTGTCTGCCCTCCAGGAGCTTCCTGGGGCTTTGTGAAACCACATGCTTCCCTGGAGGAAGAGCGCAGTGGGGATATTTCCCTATTACAACAGGAAAGGAAGGTCCATGCCCTTTTCCGAGGGCTCGATTAAGTCAAGGGAAGCTGGCGTTTAAAACTTTGAGTTGTATAACAGGCTCTTTGTGTGTGTGTGTATAGAGAACCATTTGGAAAGTTACTGAAGGAAATTTCCGGGATGGCAAGATGTTTGGAAGGCAACAGTGTCCACTTAAAAATGCATGCTCCAGAATTAGTAAAGAGACCTGTAATGTTACTAGTTTAAAGGGGACAAATAGCATCTTCGTATAATTTGGCTCTTGAGGGTGTTGCTTAGAATGGTGATAGATTATCTCTTCATTTGAGTTTCACTCTGGTTGTGTGTTCAGAGGCTTGTGCTTTTAGCTGATCTATTTCCTTTATTCTCTTAATGAAAATCAATAGTGCAACCTTCTATGACTATGTCTTCTTGAGTCATAGACTCTGCATGCATTAGACTTAAATGCTTTCTCAGTTTTAGACTTTCGTTGAAAGTAGCAAGTCACACTATGTGGGCCAAGGCAGCCTCACCTTTGTGGATGAATGTAGCCCCTCCTGAGGATTAGAGACCAGTGAAAAGAAGGTCTGGTTGTTAGAAAGCATGTGCCAACCTGTGCTTTCTTCTGCACTCAGATGCTCCAAAAGAAAGCATTACATTCATTTAAAAAATTAATCAACTCATTGTTTGCTGTTATTCAAATCAACGTAGCATTTTTGTTTGCTTTCTCAACTACATTTCATGAGAAATGTAGGTGTGTATTCTATTCTGACGTTTTCTTCTATACCTGCTTACAGTTAGAAAGGGGGCTTTGCTTCAAATGAATTTTTTTGTGATAGTCTCTTGCTCCTTTGAAACATTTATCGACAAACATTTTTTAATGAAATATTTATTAAAGCGCTATGAAAAAATTAATTTAGTGCTAAAATATAAATTTTATTTGGATTCAAGTTCCAGTTGTTTGTAATATGTGTCATATGTTGTGTACATTATGATGTTTCAGACAGGTTGATGTTAAGTCCTAATTAAGTATTCAAAATAAAAAAACTCATAACAAATGTAGCTAGCGCTATCATTGCTGCACAAAACATGAATGTGTGACGTAGACTTTATTATAGAGAACATTCTGAACATACAGGGCATCTTCTGACTTAGATGTTGCAGGGACTAGGAAGAATGTGTCATATGAAATTCAAAGGTGATTTATAGTAGTTAAAAAACACTTTCGATCTGTCTAATCAAATGGATGGCCACCTTTTTATTATGTTGAAAAAAATGAATGAATAATTACGATGGAGATTCTATGCCAGAAAACAGCTGACTCAGTTATTTTGCTAGTGCTTTAAAAGCCAATTTAAGTATTAAGAGTATAAATAAATTATGACTTCAAATGACACACGTATTCAGTCATCACAATAACGGAATTCCCTGAAATGAAATGTGGCAGTGTGTGGACACCATCCAGACTTCAGAAGCATTGCTTAATCTGAAAGTCAATAGCTATGTTATGTGACAGCTAAAGCATAGTTTTCCACCCACTTCTCTAAAAGTGAGAATAATTTATCTCTCCTTTTCTGATTTAAAGGCTATAGGATGAATCTCCAGATTGGACAAGAGAGAAGTGACATGAATTAGTTGAGGATTTGAATACTTTCAACCATTCTTTAAATTTGATTTCTATCATTGATAGGCCAACAGTTAAGGTGAACACTCATTAAGAAATACATGTCTGTGAAGGAATCCTTCCAGTCTTCAATCATGCATAGAAGCTTACAAGGAAGTTGTGTTTGTACCGTGAAGTCTGGACTTTGAATTCCACTTGGAAATTTCAGGAAAAAGTAAAATTGCCAGCTATACATAGAATATTGTCTTATTAGCTACAAATAATGCTCTTGCCCTCCTAGACTCTTTTGCTTCCTATTCTGCCTTATAACTCTATGACTTTAGAAGGCATTAGGCTTGGGAAACAGTGGAAATCTTATCTATCTCTGTTGTCACTGTTAGTTGCCATTGAGTCAGCTCTAACTCATGGCGACCTTATGTGCAACATACGTAAAGAAACATTGCTCAGTCCTGTGCTGTCTTCATGTTCGTTGGTATGCTTAAGTTCATTGTCGCAGCCACTGTGTAGTTTGAGTGCCTTCCGACCTATGGGGCTCATCTTCCAGCACTATATGGGACAATTTTGGAAGCAGATAACCAGACCTTTCTTCCTAGTCTTCCTTAGTCTAGAGGCTCCACTGAAACATGTCCACCATGGGTGACCCTGCTGGTGTTTGAAGTGCTGGTGGCAGAGCTCCTGACATCGTAGCAACACACACCCAGCACAGTATGACAAACTGACAGATGCGTGGCGGCTTATCTCCGTAGAATCCTATGTTTCCTTTACCTATAATCTAAAAGTGAAAGACATGGTCTAGCAAAACAAAGGAGTACCACCAAAGCAAGGGGAGAAAGGGGCTCCTCCCCCAGCCCCTATTCCACCCCTGTTGGCTCAGCCCTCTATGTGATTTTGAGGGTAATCATTCAGTAGGGTTTGACTATCCCAGAGGACAGCATGACATTAACCAGGAGTCCTTTGATGGTATATTTCATTTGTTAATTTTTTTTTTTTTTTTTAATTTTAGAAAGTGGGAGAGTTGCAGAGTCTACTTTGCTCAGGGGCCTGGTTTTATGCCAGTTGTGTTTGTGGAGATTTCCTGATGCCATTTGTGGAGACAGATGCCTTATTTTCTCTCCTGCTCTTGCCAAAGTGTGGGTGAGAGTAGGGGCTCTGGTAAGAGAGACCTGGGTTTTGACACTGATTCCATCTCTTAACTCTGATCTTAGCAAAGGACTTACAGTCACCAAGATGCAATTCACATTCCTCCTTAAAGGAGTCACAGGTTTGCTGTGATGGTTAAATGAGTCAGTCCATGTCTACACTGCAGTAACAAGCAATCCCCAGTACCAGGGTGTCAGCTTCACACTTTTCCCCTCACACTTGTCATCTTTGCAGGTTAGCAGGGGTCTCTGTCATCACAGTTGCCTGGCCTGATGGAAGCTCCATCGCTATACAGGCTTTCGTGATTGCCAAGGCAGCTGAAGGGAAGCTGTGGACTCATGAAGTGGCTCTCAGTGCTTCCACCCAGTAGTGGCACATCTGTTTGACTCATGTTCGTTGGCCAAAGAAAGTTTCATGGCCAAAGCCTGCTTCAGGGGAGGTGAGAAGGGAGATCTAACCAAGACCTAGAAGGAGGAGAAACAGAACCTCTGTGACTAGCCTTCATGAGGGTTCCAACAGCACATAAAGACCTAGGACAGCATTTACCCATATTTAATATTCAGCATATGGCAACTGTAGGTGTCATTGCTCATTAGGTGCTGACTGGCTCTCTGGCCCAGCCCTTCCACTCCCAACATTTGAGTTCATCCTGCTAGCATTACAGTCCTGGACCCAGTGCATATGGGTCCTTCCACCAGAGAAGCCAGCTCACTGACCTGGGCCTGTTACACTGCCTCTTTGCCTGGCTTCCAGTCCATTCTCTGGTGGTCTGACTCTAACACAGACCTCCAAGCCCTTGCTTGCTCCCTGCCCGGCCATCCTGAGGCTGACTCCTGTTTTCTCTGGTTCCCACTTCCCCTCCTGCTAGCAGAGACAAGCCCCTTGCCCTGTCCCCAACCCCTGCTTTCCTTCCCAGCTCAGTGCTGATGGAATTAAGTCAAGTAATATTTAATTTATGTGCAGAGTGGATCAGAAAGCCTATTTAAAATTGAAAGAAAGCAGATGAGATAATTCATAAAGAGTAAAAGACATCAGAATCCTTAACACTCATGCTTGTAGGGAGCCATAGTATCTTGGTTTAGTAAGTGCCTCACACTTGAAAAATAGTCTCATATAAGTGTGAATTTGCATCTGCTTAAATAGAGTTTATGTTACCAGTGAATA